TCGAGTATTTCAGAATGATTCTTTCTAGTGGAACTGAAAGAAACTCGATGTTGTTTCCCAAATAGACAGTGCTTGCAGGGATCCAGAGCGACACTTATCAAAAAAGATTGCTTCCTTCTTTGCAAGAGTTGTCAGTCTTTTCACGCTCATGTGGCCTAACCTCCGGTGCCACAGATTTGGTGATGTCTCTCCTTAAACAACATTGAGACTTGGAGGACACAACTTTACATAGGTTTTGTAAAGAGTACCACAGATATGACCTCTTGCAATAATCATAGAGCCTTTAGATAATTTCCACGTACCTTCTTTGAACTTGCTTTCATTCCCCTGCCGATCTAGAGCAACTCCTGAGATAAGATTCAATCTCAGATCTGGAACATGTCGAACATCTGTCAACACAAGTGTGCAGCCAACACTTGTTTGAATGTGCACATCTCCAATTCCAACAATGTTTGAGAAACTTGTATTTCCCATCTTCAGAGCACCATGGTCTCCGGGATTATAAGTTGCAAATGAATTTTGGTGCGGAGTGGCGTGAAATGTTGCAGCGGTATCAATCACCCACTCGATATCATGCGCACATACGTGTAGGCATGCTTCTTCTCCACAAGTAACAAGTGCAATGTCTGGTGACATGGTGACCATGGTCTCACCATCTTCCTTGCTTGAACTTTGACTCGTCTGGGGCCGCTCTCGAAGAAACTTTCGGCATTCCTTCTTTTTGTGCCCGTAATGACCACAATGGTTGCAATAGCACTCGAACCAAGTATTGGTATTGACAGACTTCCCCCGCTCTTGTGATCTTCCTCGAACTTAAGATCTCCCTCTACTTTGACCTTGAGCTCTGCCTCTGCCTCGACCTCGTCCTCTACCTCCATTTCTACCTCCCCCCTCGCCTGATGGTTTCTGAAATGAGAGCATAAGACTGATCAGTCCCAGCTTCCTTCCTTCGTGCTTCCTCATTCATCAAGGCGTCTCTGACCATCTGCATAGTCACGGTACCATTCGGGGCAGAATTACTGAGAGTCACAACAAGAGTCTCCAGTTATCAGGTAGAGAGCTAAGCAGAAGTATTGCTTGTTCTTCATCTTTGAAGACCCATCCGGTGGTGCTCAATTGATTCACAAGATCCTGGAACTGACTCGTGTGTTCCGACACAGAAATGCCACCATGTAACGTGTGGTTCACTAATCGTCTCATACGCAACGTTTTATTCCGAGCAGTTTTTGCTCGGTACATGCTACTAAGTTTCTCCCACAGTGTGTGAGCACTTTGCTCTTGAGAAATATGATGGAAAACACTATGATCAATCCACTGTCGGATTTGTGCGACAGTTTTTCTGTTCATCTTAGCCCATTCTTCATCCGTCTTTTTATCTGGTTTGACGCCATTATTATACAGGGGATCTGCTAAATCTTTCAAATTTAGCAAATCCTCCATCCGAGGTTTCCACATGTTGTAATTTGTGGGAGTTAGCGCAATCATCGTATCCAAAGATGATATTTCCATGATAAAAATGTACACTTATTCCCGTACCTCAATTTTGAAGCAGAATTAGGCCAAACGGAGCACACCGTTGAATCCGGAATGGCAAAAAATGGTGGGAACCAGTCTCACCTCTTCAAGAACCGGTCTGGAAAAGAGTGAACCAGTCTGTTGAACCGCGAATCGAACCGGACCGGTTCTGGCCAAAACCAGTGGGCAGCCAACCAGGCTGATGACGTGGCACCCACCTGGAAGTGACGTGTTGCCCGACATGGCGGATGACGTGGCATTGTCCGGTGGTCCAACAGGTCGGATGTGGGTGACGTTGCAGCTGACGTGGCGGTGACTGGACGCTGATGTGGAGCTGACGTGTCGATGACGTGGCTGATGACTGGTTGCCTTCTCCGGCAGATCTGTAACTCTCCAGCGACGTAGCAGCGGCAAGTATAAACAGGAGAGAGAAACGTTGACCGAACGTTTGGAGGCCTTCCGGTGGTGGAAAAATTCCGAAAAATATGTTTTTGGAATCCTTAGAACAAGAGCTTCCTAATGGTGACCTCAAAACAAGATTCTGGAACAAAAAATTTTTGACCAAAAAATCGAGCTGAATGTAGAAACCTGGGTTTGAGGAATAACCTGTCTCTGATACCACTTGTTAGGATTGGAAAATTCTTCTATTCATAACAAGAACAGAATTACAATAGGAGGAGCAACTCTGTCACTTAACTATTACAAAAAAACCAATCCTCTCATACACTCACACTCTATGTGTATTGCTCTATATATTTCACTCTGGATTTTGATGCTTTTGAACAATGGAAGAGGTTCCTATTTATAGGCAAGGCTGGGAGACAATTGCATTGATTTCCATAATGCAGCCCATGTCTCTCCATGCCTCTCCATGCCTCTCTTCAATGGGCAGGAGATGGAGGACCATCCCATGGTATGGAGGATGGAGTGGGCTTGCTGGGAACTGGAAGCCTGGAATTCTACAAACATGTGCACCTGCGCCCCACAATTGCGTTGCACCTTAGTTACGTTCAATTCGTTGTACAACTGTTGCTGGAGTCAATTAATCCACACACAGAAAAAGGAGAAGAAGTATAGGATGGAAAAGAGAACCATTAATATACATGGAAACATCGACGGTGGTGGCGACAATGCTCGAGGTGGCAATGGTGGTGACTTTGTCCGAGATGACGATGACGGCGATGATTTGGACTCGACATGTTATGCGTGTGATGTAGATAGGACGCCATCGACGTTTTGTGGACAAGATAAAAAAAAAGAGAAGAAGAATATAGTACGTATGAGTTCTAGGCGGTGGCGGAGGCAATTGCTGCATTGGAGGTGTTGTGGCGGTGGAACTTTGGTGCGGCGACTGAGAGCAGCAGAAACTCGAGAAATTGAGAGGGAGAGGTTGTTTGTCTTTTATTGAAGGACTAGTTTTATTACGCGCTTTGCGCGAGCGTAAATGCCCAATATGAAATTGTCATGATAAATGATATCGAATGTTGTTGTATTGTAATTGTGATTTATGAAATTATACAGACAAACTAAATGACAGTTACATCCAACTAAATATATGATTGAGTTGTTCATAATTGTTTTTTTTTAACGAAAATTGTTCATAATTGTTAACAGATTAAAAAGTATAGCCGGCTGCTTTAGTTCTAAGCGCAATATGTTTAAGATGAAAACAAAGCTTTTTAATTGAGAAATTGTCTTTAACTTTTTATCAATGAAGTATCTACACCATAGAATCCATTCTCTAAGCTTATACATGTCTTGGCATATACATAGTAATAATAAGCTTAGAATCCATGTCTTGGCATATACATAGTAATAATATTATAATCCATGAGTTAATTTAGAAGATGGAATATAATATTGCGTATTAAAATAAGTAATATTACACTTCTCTTCTCTATTATATTTCATCTTCTAAATTAATCTCATGGATTATGATATTATTATAAGATGAGAAGCGGTTATATTTTAGCAAAACAATTAATTTAAAGATAAACTTTATAGACTTATGAAAATGTAGTGGAAAACGATAAAACGTAAGTAAACCCGTCTCCCGCACGTTGTAGAAGAATCCATCTCCCTTCTTTTCGATATTTTCACCCTCTTTTCCTTCTCGCTTTACTTCTAGAATATATTAAATTGATTGAATCGAACAATGTTTAATTTTATCAAATTCTGAGCAAGCTCTCTAAATGTGCCGAATTACAAAAGCATATACTTTAGGAAAATTAGCTACAATAGACTTTTTATTCAAATTTAGCAAAAAAGTAACACCAATCTTTATCTTCTTAATAGCCCATTTAGCGTGTGAATTAAAAAACCTCGTATTCCATAAAAAGTTATCGGAGTATTTGATCAGACTGATCAAATAAACATGTAACAATTTTGGTAATGATTATTTAGTACTCCCTCCGTCAGTTAATATAATCTCATCTTTTCTTTCTTGTCATCAAACTACGAATCCGTTTGATAACACTGGAATCGGTTGATTCTGCTGAAATGTATGAAGTTCTAGTTGAATGGTGGTGTTGGCTGATTCTGCTGATAAATGAAAAAATTATATATCAAATATATTTATTAATAAAATAAAGAAAAAGTTATATGAAAAATAGCTAAAATGATTATCTACTGTAACTTCGAACAATACAGCCAGAAAAGTAACTTCAACCTTATTTTTTCTTATTATTACACATTTCAGTGCGGGAAATCAAAAGTTACGTGTTTGGTTATAAAGTTGACTGATAGCCTGATAAGCCGAAAAACCGAGTGTTAGGTCCCTGTTTTCTAGTCTATAATGTATATGTATGGAAGATAGATCTGTGTATGAAGCTTTCCATTGATGTGAAGGTTTTACAGAATGATATGAATGTTTCAGCGTAAAAACCTTACACAGAAATAGGCTCTGCGGCACTAGGAATGTATTGAAAAGCTTAACCTAGCCTTTCCCTTAAGGCATATATATATAGCCTGACGGGAAAGGTAGGTTTTACAATCATTTGGGCTCCTTTTTCTAGGAGACCCATACCTAAAAAGGCATGAAAGCCTTTATTACAGATTGCCTTAAAAGGCCTATTCATTATTCTAGCTAGTCTATTTAATTAAAATGCTAAATACAAAGAGCTAAGAAACATTGATCACAATATAATGAAAATATCTCTAACAATCTCCCCCTTTGTGATCAGATGTTCTTGCTTCTTCTTTTCTTCACTTCTGAGCTTTAAAATAATGCTTTCTGAGATTTAGTGCATGCTCGTAATTTCTGAGTGACCTTCTTCTGTCAAGTTGTTTCTCGATTGCTTTCAACACTTTGTCAATTCTGGTTGCCTCTGTTAGTTCATCGTCTGTGGCATCTGCATACTTCTGTTGTTTTTCTTCAAATTCTTTTCTGATAGGTTGCAGTTTTTCTTCAATGATCTTCGCGTTCCATCACAGTACTTGTTGATTTCTTCTGCCACCAACAAACGTCTCTCACCTTTGTGGTTCAGATAGATGATAGCTAACGGGTGATCGAAGATGTAATAGGCTGGATAGTTCTCAAGTTCTGGCCCGTAAAGATTTGGTATTGAGAGGTTTGTCTTTGGCAGATTTGTTTCTAGGGCCATCTGAAGATCATGGGAAGCAAAGAATTTGGCTTGTCTAATCATGAAGCGCTTGAGTGCCTTGAATCCCTCTTGTGTAGATTTGTCCCAGGTGACTGGAATTTCCTTGAAGGTTAGATACATATGATAGATGTCATCCATCTTTAACATATAAAGGTCATTTTCCTTGCAGGTAAATTCAGTCCCGTCGGAGCGTTACAGGCGGTAAACAGAGAGTGGGATGTCTTGATGATTTATTTCGGCTACATTTAGTATACTCCATACTGGGTCTTTTGCTGTTTGTAGTTCATGTTGCCATACTTCTCTCTGTTTTCCCATGTAATGATGACTAAGCAGAAACAATTGTCCGCCCTTGTTCTTTCCTCTCAGATGATTAAGTCCACGGATTTTCAATTCGTCCAATTCCTTGACTTTGTCATCCCTCCGCCATATACGCTTTCTGATTTCCTCTTGGAAAGGAGCATTGATGTTAATATTCTCCCAAGGCTTTTCACTCCTCGGCATTTGAGCCGCTGTTTGTCTGATGATGGATTCCAGCTCCTTGGGAGGTTCCTGATAATTTTCTCCTTCCTTGAGTTCATCGTCATCAAGCAGTATCACATCAGCAGCACATCTAGCTAGGAGCTCTCTGAGATAGGCTCTTCGCTGTATTTCATCCACATTTGTCCATAGCCGAGACCACTTGTTATGAACAAGAATTTCTTCCAGTTCGTCATGCATTCGATCATCGTGTTGGCTAGAGGGAACTTGCTGCTGCTGTGGCGGTCTGTCAATAGTAACTCCGGGATCACTAGGATTGCCCGTTATCATCAGATTAGAACAGGGTTCTTTCTGATGGCCTGAGTAAGATGGTGTACTCGACGTAGCAACCTCAGGACTTCCACTCCATCCTTGGTCTACATCTATGAAAGATGAGCCTAGGAGTGTTGTTTCTAGCTCGACCGGGCTAGATGTGGGTTGATTGGCTGATTGGCTTTTGTGTTGAGTGGATGGTGGGGGCTGATTGTTCGAGGATTCAGGTTGGTTGGATTGCGTAGAAGGTTGGCTTGTTGACGCATCACGCTCAAGTATCCTTTGCCTCTTGTTCTCCCCCTCATGAGGATCCGAGTCATCGGGGTCGTCATGCGAACGTTTGTGACCGAGGAGACTATCACGGCATGAGCTGTCAGGCTTAAGGATCCGAAGAAGGTCTTTTTGTTTCTGGGTTAGATTGCCTTCTTCGGTGGCTAGTAGTTGATCTAGCATTAGGTTCTCGAGTACCTTGAACGGTAAAGTTTTAGGGTCAGGAAAAGGTGTGGTCGAAGTAGGGGAGGACACTAGTTCTGTATCCTGGGTTCCCCTTGAAGCAGTAGGTGAGTGAGGTAGGGTTGTGGATGGTTCAGAGGTTTGTTGGGTAGGTATGATAGGAAGTGGTTGGGTTTGTTGGGTATGTGAGGATGATGGTTGGGGTTGGATGATGTCATTAAGCAACGCCGGGGTGTTCCTGAATTCCTGTGCCCGAGCGGTTATTGCTTCGTGCACCCATGGCTTAATGGTGGAATCCAAGAAACGCTGCAGAATGACAGAAAGGTCGGTAGGGTCAGGGTTACCGGTTACAGGGGTAGTAACCGTTGTCACAGCATCAGTAAAGATTACCGATGTGTGGCCTGCAGATAATGATGGAGATATCTGTTGAGCAGCAGGACTTCCGATCATCATCGACGTATCTCCGATCGTTGAGGACAAGTAAAGTGCACCTGTCGTGTGCGGTGGTGTGAGCAGTGTATGTGTCCTAGAAAATGTTGAAAATGTTGGGATGGTGGAAACTAGACTCAATGTGCTAGAAGCAGGGGTAGTGGTCTGGGGCGGAAGACCACAAAGAATATCCTCAACTGCTTCGTAGGGAGACAGCGAGGTGGGTATAATATCCCCTATATGTGAAACTACTACCTGTTGGGAGGCAGCAGAGTGGCTAGGTGAGGCTTGTGCATGTGCAGTTGGGCTAGATGCTGTGTCTTCTACTCGGAGACTGAAAATATCAGCCTCTGCACCTATGGGGTTAGCCCGGTTTATTGTGTCTAGGTCAGAGCAGCTGTCATACAAAGCTAACTCTTCTGCCAGGTTGCTCGTGGTTTGCACTCTTTGCACAGGAGTAGATGATGAGGCAAGGTCGTGACGCACCTTGGAGCGAGTCTCACTGATGATATTTCCTCGAGTGTCCTTGATTTGGTGAGACTGCTCTTGTGTTGTAGCCCGAGAAAGCCTGATTACGAGTCGTCCTTTCTTAGCGCGGGCTTTCTCGACTTTCTTGCCCTTTGCGTTGGCGTTGTTGTCATCCTCATCATCATCATCGTTGTCGTCCTCAGCCTTGCTCCCAAAGCCCTCATCGTCAGCGTCTTGTGTTGTGGCTACGCTTGGCGAATCATGGGTAGTCTCTTCAGCACGGGTGTGGCCCTCAGTAGACATAGTCTGATCATCATGGGGCCGGCTTGCCACTGGTCTCTGTGGCCGGGTTGAACTCTCAGGACCCTCACTTACTCTCAGCTGACTCCCCGGGGTAGGCTCAGGGGGGTTTATCTGAGCCATAGGGAGTATGATACCGTTCTCCTCGCTGTAGCGTATAACGTGTGGATCATTGCGACCGGCTAACAGGAGGAGAGGGACTGGAATGGGTAATGGTACCAGTGAGCGTACCTCTGGCATTCTCTTCAGATATTGGAGGGCTGGAGTGCTGACATTCTCAGATGATTTGCGTCTCTGAATAGTTGGAGTTGTTCTGCAGAAATGTCGCACCAGCAAGGAAAACCATCTCATGTATGGCAGATGTTTGATCAGATTGGTGTCAAATTTCCTTCTCCTCATCTCCAAGAACTCACTCCATATTAGAGCAGCGTAGTCATATTTCTTCATGAAGGCGATCCCATGGAAGATATACACAAGGTAAGCACTGCACTTGTCGAATCCAGTGTGCTTGGAAGTGCAGCACTTATTCAGAGTAGCCATCAGTGTCCTCCATGGGCGCGGCAAGCGAGCCGTCTTGATTTCTGACATCACGTGGAGAGGTTCAGCGTGGCCTAGGGTGATCATGTCCTCAAAGATTTGCGCTTCTGAGGCCAACGCATCATAATGTTCCTCCTCCGGGATCTGTAGCACTTGTTGGACTAGCGCTTTGGTGATGGTGACTCTTGTGTTGCAGATCGTGGCAGCTAGGACGTCATCAATTTGTCTGCCATTCGCATCTACGTCCTTGTCAAGTGTACCCCAGAATTGTTGGAGATACACCTGAGGGACTTCAGCATTGGCGTTCAGTGCTTTCCACAGCTTGTGGCCTTTCAAAATGGAGACCACTACGTCGTCTTGACAAGAGAAGACTTCTGGGTCCAGTTGTGAGTTATTCTCCTTGATCGGTATCCAGTGTTCCCTAGCATAGATCATGTTGATTGGAGTGTTGGCAGCCATTTCAATCTGAAAATGATAAACAGATTAGAGCATATGATCAAAAATGGCTAAGTCCACAACTCCTGGTCACTTGGGCCCTTTATTGTTTTTTTTTTAATGAAAAGTGGGGCCCAATTGAAAATGTTATTGGTCTTGATTTGAAGTTGGGCCTGGACTTGATCATTTCGGCCTACTTGAAACATTTCACAAAGGGTTTCGTTTGGGCTGGTTTTACTTAAGATCGCGCAGCCCAAAGGATTGCCCAAGGATAAGGATCGCACTAGCCTATTCGCGCAGGCCCCCCTAGATCGCGCAATTGGGATCGCGCAAGGGGGAAGGATCGCGCAAGGGGCAAGATCACGCAAGCCCCGGATCGCGCAAGGGCCTCAAATCGCGCAGTGTACTGAATCACGCAAGCCTAGAGGATCACGAAAAAGGGGGGAATCGCGCAGCCCTTTCTGATCGCGCACGTCCCCCAATATCGCGCAAGGCTAGTAGATCTGGCAAGGCTCCTGGTTTCGCGCAACTTCCCAAATCGCGCAACCTGGGCGAATCGCTCAAAGGGGAATCTTCGCGCAAGGATTAGATCGCGCAACCCGGGCGAATCGCGCAGGCCCGATGTTTAGCGCAATCAGAAAACGCGCACTGGGGTTTTCGCAAGGGAGTCCTGTTCGTCGTCTTCAGGTAGACCGTGTACCTGTTCATTCTCAGAAAAATCGAAGAAAGATGGGAAAATTTCTTTACCTTTGAAGAGTGAAAAGCGAGAGAGGGAGTTGAGAGCTCTGAGGGAGTGCAAGCGTTTCGCGCAGAAGTGAAATGGGGAGGAGTTGCGCGTTTCACAGATTAAATAGGCCCGGGAGGTTTTTCAAAAGTGTAACGGGCCCAAATCAGTCAGATTTCAAATTAAAATTCTCCCCCTCAACACTTGCTTTCTTTTTAGAATGAAAAATTTAGAAAACTCCCCCTCAACTTATACATATTTTTGAAAAGCTCCCCCTCAACTTATGAACAGTTTAGAACAGCTCCCCCTCAATTTATGCAATGAAAAAAAATGATGCAAACAGAATAATAAAAATATGAGATGCATGCATAAAAATAAAAATGCAAATTTTGAAAAATGTTTTAGAATGAATGAAAATTATGAAAGCACACGCACACACACAGTTCAGAGTTACTCATTCGTTCAGGTTCAGCATCCCCAGCTTAGAGATCAGGAAATTGAATCTCTTTTCATCCAGGGCTTTGGTGAATATATCAGCCAGTTGCAATTCCGTAGACACAAAGTACATGTCCACGGTGCCTTTCTCAACGTGATCCTTTATGAAATGATATCTGAGATCAATATGCTTCGTCCGGGAATGATGGACCGGATTGCACGTGATGGCAATTGCACTTTGAGAGTCGCTGTAGATCGGGATGTGTGAGAATGTGAACCCATAGTCTTTCAACTGGGTCCTCATCCATAATATCTGTGAGCAACAGCTGGCAGCCGCGACATATTCTGCCTCAGCTGTAGAAGTAGACACACAATTCTGCTTTTTGGAGGACCAGCACACCAATTTATCACCAAGAAATTGAGCACCGCCAGATGTACTCTTTCTGTCCAATTTGCAACCCGCGAAATCAGCATCTGAGTATCCAACAAGGTCAAAGCCTGATTCCTTGGGATACCAAAGGCCCAGATTGACTGTTCCT